TAATACACGTCAGCACACGACACGACACACGACACGACACGCGCGCGATGACACGACACGACACACGTACGTCGTGTTCGCGCTCGAGTGCGGTTTCGATCATGCGGTCGCGGTAGGAGGAGCCGGTGGTGGAGAGCTGGCGCTGCAGGCGGCGCTTCTTGTAGTCGTCCTCCCGGTCCGAGATCCTGCTCTTCCTATACTCTGCGAACGGCTGCACACACCGCACACACGACACACGCACGCCGCACACGCCACACACCGCACACGCCGCACACGCCACACCGCACACGCCACACCGCACACGCCGCACACGAGGGTTAGGGGGAAGAGAGAGGGAAGTGGAGGGAGGGAGGCGCACGTCGGCCTCTTCGTCGTCGTTCTTGGGGATGTCCCTGTACACGCTCTTGGGCGCGGTGTAGCGACCCGTCAACTTTCTGTGGTGCGCGTGTCGTGTGTGTATGTGCGTGTGCGGTCAGCAATCGCACGAGACACACCGCACACACCGGACACGCTGCACACACGAGCGAAATGAGTGCGCACCGGATGGAGCTGGCGGCTTCGGACATGTGGCCGTAGTCGTCTTCATCGTCATCGCCGCCGACGCTGATCGACGTCGCGTAGGCTGCAAAAAAATGAACGAATAAATGAATAAAATAACAAAACAAAGAACATATAAATACGCGTTTGTTTTAAACAAAAAAATAAAATAAAAATAAATAAAGATGAACGTACCACCTCGGGATGAGGTTCCGCCGTAGAGGTCGTTGTCGAAGTCGCCCGAGGCGGTGCCGAAGGAGGCCAGGCGGCCCTCCTCGAGCGCCCGCTGCTTCTGCAGCTCAGCGATCTCCTTCTCCAGATCCTTGTCTGCTCCATTCAAAATCGTAAATTAGAGAACAAATCGTAGACATGTTGTTTACCTTTCATGGTTTCTCACTAGCGAAGCCAGACAAGGAATATGGAACACAAAGATGAGGAGCGAAGATGGAGGAGGCGTGCCATCTACGGTGGGCGCCCGATGCATGTTTGTTTGATGCAGCTTGGCCTTTTCTGCTCCTTTTCTTTCCCTTTTTCATTTTCTTTCCCCTTTTTTTGTTCTCTCCAGCAACGTCTGAAGTGCAACCAACATGGCAAAGCTCCAATAAACTGATCCACACTACTTTCCTCTTATTCACCACATTGGGGGGGGGGGATTGGGTGAGCCTAGTGTGAGTGGAGGAAGGAACGGAAGGTGCCCCACATCTGCTGAGCCTGGGAGTGGTTGGTGTAGTCCAGGGCGTCAGCCTCCCAGACACCCACACCTGCAGGCCACACCAAGAAGATGAAAAACAGCATCTTAGCCCCCACTGATTGACATGATGGCAACTCTGCAGGTGCATGGGGCAGTACCGCGGATGTGCAGTGACTTGGCCAGCTCGCACTTGAGCGTGAGACTCTCCACATCGTCGTACCAGAGCTGGTGGATGTGGCCCTGGCTGGTCCTGTAGTCGAACCAGGGCGACTTGGCCGCAGCGTCCCACCTTACACACGTTATGAATGACACAACCATAAGACAAATGATGATGACTACCACAGCAACACTATTCAATGTTTGGAGAAGGTGCGCACTGTCTCTTGGTGATGGCCTGAGAGCTGCTCAGGAGACGCTCCACGACGTGGTAATCAAGCTCGGGGGCGACGGCATCACTTCCCACGCATACGCACATGCACCACCGCATACATACCACCACAAACACACACACACACGTCGCATCACCGCACACACAGAGATGAGCAAGTGAGCGCACACACACGGCCCCTCGGCTCATACCTGCAGGGAGCGCCGCGGAAGGGGACCGGCTGGATCGGGCAGACGGTGAGGTTCGCGGGGTTGATGCACGGGTAGTCGCGCCCATACCTGAACCCCAGCGCTCAGTCGACATTTCTTTTGTGGCGCGCGCCATGGCGTGTGCGATCGGTGCGTGCGTGCGTGTGCGTGTGCTGGGGACGCACCAGGGGAGACCCAGCACGAGCTGCTCGGGCTTGATGCCCAGCTTGAGGTACTGTCTGAGTCCCTGTCGTTCGTGATCAGTGCCCTCGCCAATTTCAATCCAAAAGAAATAAATAAACCTATTAACACTTCGAGTTTGTTGCAAGCGTTTCGTGACCCCAGGCAAGCGATTTCGGAGATTTGAGGGTTCCGCAAAAGAAAAATTCTTTTCTTGCGCAATTGGTTCAGGAAATGTCTTTTTTGTTTGTATTTCCACACTGGCCAGTGGCCACGATTCGACAAGATGAGCGCTGATTTCGGTGCCAAAAGTGGCGCCTATGCGCACACTCATCTTCTATGATGTAGTGGTTTGCGCACAGGGCAGCTTGATTTGGTGGCCTGTTTGGAGCAGATCTCGAAATCAATAAAAAATGATTATTAGATAACCATGCCTGGCAAAAGCCGGGCGTATGGGGGAGTCGACAGAATCGCAATCCTGGCCACCTTAAAGGGTACCTACCGGGAGGTACTTTGCTGACGTGTCAGGCGGGGAAAAGGAAAGGTCGACAGAATCGGGATCCTGAGTCGGAGATTAATTTCGAAGTGCTTAATAAATAAATAAAACTATCAACTACAAAATGAATATGGAAGAAAAATAAATATAATAATGAATAATGAATAAAAATACCTCTTCGGCGCGCGGGTAGCCAGAGTTGGCCCCGGCGATGCACTTGGAAGCCGGAATCTGGCTCTGCATGTCGTACGCCATCACGAACAGGAAGTCCGTGAAGTCGGCCAGGCCCTGCAGATCACAACCGCACAGCCTATGAGACCAGAGTAGCGTGCGTGCGGTGATGTGTGTCTTGTGTGTCGCGTTCGTGTTGTGTGCCGTTCGTGGTGTGTGCCGCGTTCGTGTTGTGTGTCGTGTGTCGTGTGTCGTGCGTGTGTCGGCGCGTGCCTTGTAGTCGTAGCAGCGCTCGTCGACGCACTGGGGGCTCCGAGGCGACGTCGAAGGTGAGCTGG